AAATATATATATATATATGCATATATATATACACATATATATATTTTTTTACAGGGATAATGGGGGAGATAAACCCAGTGGTACTTGTAAGGTTTGCTCAGGACCGAATGGTGGCCGGCAGATGAAATAGTAATATTCCCAGAATCAAAGATCACCCTGCCCCCAGTGCAAAAGTCAGGATTTATGGCCCACCTGTGACAGGAAGCCACTAGTCTTCATTCCATGCTTCCTCTCATCGACACCCCATAGATAACAAGGCCAGATCAATCGCACAGTTCCACTGGTCTCTGTTCCCTTTTCCTACCCAAGACATCTTAAAAATCCTACTTAGTGTCTCCCAGGGCTCAGCTCAACCCCAGCCTCATCAGAGGCTCATGGGACCCATCCGGGAGTGCACCCCAGGTGGAATAAATAAACTTCTCCTATTTCTTACACTAACTTGTCTTTGTCTCTGTCTGTGCCGGCTGGGGTCAGCCCTCTCTCAGTACTTAGGGGCTATTCCTGGTTCTGTGCTCAGGTGTGATCCCTGGTGGGGGCTCGGGAGACCATATGCAGGGCTGAGGATTCAAACAAAGGTAGCAGTCACTGTGCCCACATGCAAGGCAAGTGCCTTTCTGCCTCTCCTATCGCTCTGGCCCCAGCGTAGGTATTTATTTCTTTTTTATTTATGCATTTTTGAAATATTTTGTTTTGTTTGGGGGGAGGTGTTGGACCACACCAACAGTGCTCCTGGTTCTGGGATCAGGGTCACTCCTGGCAGACTCTGAGGACCATGTAGGGTGCTAGGGATGAACCTATGTCTGCCACATTCAAGGTCTGGCCCCCTAATTTGGGGGGTGGAGACAGGTGGTGTTAAGGCCACATCCAACAGTGCTCAGAGGGTATTCCTGACTCAGAAATGACCCCTGGCAGTACTCAAGAAATTATAAGCAGGGGCTGGAGCGATAGCACAGCAGGTAGGGCATTTGCCTTGCATGCAGCCAACCTGGGTTCGATTCCCAGCATCCCATATGGTTCCCTGAGCACTGCCAGAAGTAATTCCTGAGTGCATGAGCCAGGAGTAACCCCTGTGCAACCCCGGGTGTGCCCCAAAAAGCAAAAAAAAAAAAAAAAGAAAGAAAGAAAGAAAGAAAGAAAGAAAGAAAGAAAGAAAATTGTAGGCATGGGGCTGGAGCAATAGTACTGCAGGTAGGGCATTTTCCTTGCACACGGCCAACCCAGGTTCGATTCCCAGAAGCCCATATGGTGCCCTGAGCACTGCCAGGAGTAATTCCTGAGTGCAAAGCCAGGAGTAACCCTTGTGTCTCTCCAGGTGTGACCCAAAAAGAAAAAAAAAATTCAAAACAGTGCCAGGGATTGAACCAAGATCAGTCACATGCAAGGCAAGGCCTTAAAGCTGGACTGTCCCTGAGACCCCATGGCACTAGCATTTTGACTGAGGGATGGGCTGCCTTGGGGAGGAAGAGCGAGCAGGAGAGGACCTCTGAGGAAGTAGGTAGTCAGGTCAGGGGCCCTTGACAGTGAAGTTCCAGGAAATAATAAAACCAAGGTATGTCCTAGAAAAAAGTTAACTCTGTCAGCCAGCCCAAAGGCTCAAAGGCTGGCCCCTCCCCTATGCCCCTGCCAGATGATTCCATGGGAACGAAGGCCTGACAAGACTCTGAATGACTAACTCCCAGCCAGCCAGAAGGCTGGACGCCCTTCACCCTTGGGAGAGGAGAGGCTTCTGCAGAAATGAAAGGCCCTGATAAGAATATGAAAGACCATCAGAGGCTCAAAGTCCTTTATCCTTGTCACTGTCTCTTGTTGCACAAAGTCCCAGATCCCGGGGGCTTGTAGCAAGACCTCTGACAAGCTTTGCAGGTGCCTGAGACATAGTACAGAAGTGAGGGCACTTGCGTTCCACACAGCTCACCCCAGCTCAGTTCCCGGCACTGCAGAGGGTTCCCTGAGCACTGACAAGGTCATTCCAGAACTTAAAGTGGAGAATAGGGGCTGAGCCTGACGCAGGTGAGGCAGGAGCAGGGTGGCAGGTCTCTGTTCGTTTGCAATTCCCAGGTTCTTCAATATATATATTTTTTTCTTTTTGGGCCACACCCAGAGATACTCAGGGTTTACTCCTGGCTCTGCACTCAGAAATTATTTCTGGCAGTGCTTGGGGCACCATATGAGATGCTGGGAATCAAACCCGGGTGGGTCACGTGCAAGGCAAACGCCCTACCCGCTGGACTATTGCTCCAGCCCTCTTCAATATTTTCAAGAATGAAAATATTGAATAATAAATATGCTCAGACTCAGAGTTGGGAAGTAGAAATGGGAAAGTAGAAAAGAAAAGGAGCTTCCCAAGAGAAGAGGAACTTAGTATAGGATTAAGTTTACTATGGCTCTTTTTCTAAGATTTTTATAGGAAAACCTGGTTGTTGTGTTCCAGAAAATGCAGGGAATCTACAGGGTGGTCGGGCTGCTTTGTCTTTCTGGTCACTGCCTCGGGTATTGTTCATTATCTTAGTCTTGTGATTCCTCGTTCTGGGACAGAAAACAGGGTCCTGGGGATGCCAGGATGTTAAAGAGAGGGCCTTGGGGATGAGGTGTGCTAGGTTGATGGGGAGAAATGGAACTGCTGGCGAGGGGAAACTGTGGGGTCCCCTCTTGTTGGCAAAGGGAAAGTGAGGCTTCCTCTTTCAAGCCCAAGCCCAGCCACACCAAATATATATATATATATATGTATATATATATATATCAAAAGCAAAGACAGAGTATCTTGGCATCACCCACACTTCTTCGTGTTGCGGGTATAACTTCTCAATCTTTCTTTTTTTTAATCTATTTTTTATTATTATTATTAGCGAATCACCGTGGGGTACCATTACAAACTTACAAACTTTCATGTTTGCATTACAGTCATACAATGACCATTTACCCACCCCTCCACCAGTGCCTATTCTCCCCCACCAATGTTCCCAGCATCCCTCCCACCACCCCCACCCCATCCCCCACCACCCCACCCCGACTCAGTTTCTCTGCCTTTCTTGACTGTGCATTCCATTTCAGGAGTCATCCACATCACCATTTGGTGTGGGGGGTGGAGGGTGGGGGCGGTGCTTTCTGTCTTTTACTTTAAGGTGCTCTCCCTGTTCATTGTCTCTTCTAGTCCCTAAATGAAAGCATTGCCACATTCCCATCTTCTGCAAATCTGCTCTGTGATAATAGCTAAGGCATCTGGGGAAACAGGTGGAGGGCTGGGCTAGGTGTGTCCATGCTCTGTAGGAACTGCTGCCCCTTCACAAATCCTGGCTGCCCAACCATTTGACCAAAAAGGTTTGGTGGGGTTGGGGGGGGGGGTGGCTGGAGTGATAGCACAGTGGGCAGGGTGTTTGCCTTGCACGCGGCCGACCCAGGTTCGATTCCCAGCATCCCATATGGTCCCCTGAGCACCGCCAGGAGTAACTCCTGAGTGCAGAGCCAGGAGTGACTCCTGTGCATCGCCGGGTGTGACCCAAAAAAAGCAAAAAAATAAAAGGTTTGGTGGGGCCAAGCAGGAAGATCATAGCTTCTTCCGGGGCACCTCACCCTGTTCTGGGGCTCTCCATGCTCCCTGTCAGCAACAGCTGCATGTGCCCCAAAAACTCAACTAAAATTTGTTTTAGCCAAAAATGGAATTTGGGGGAAGACTGAACTGCAGGGAACAAGGGCTCAAAGCTTCAGTCCAAATAGTTCTCTCTTTCGTGGTGGAAAATGGGCACTGGTGGACGGATGGGAACTTGATCATTGTATAACTGAAACCCAAGCACAAAAATTTGCAAGTCTACAACTGTACCTCATGGTGTTTCACTAATAAAAATTTTTTTAAAAAAGTTCTCTCTAGGGCCAGAGTAGATAGTGCAGAGGATACTTGCCTGGCTCACCTGAGTTCCATTACCAGCACCCTCTATGGTCCCTGCACTGTCAGGAGTGATGCCTGAGAGCAGAGCCAGGAGTAACGCTGGAGGGGCCAGAGTCATAGTACACTGGGTAGATTGCTTGGCATTTTACATTTCCCCAACTCTGTCTCTTTAAAGTTCTTCTTCAGCCCATGCTGGTAAAATTTATCTTTCCCAGTGGTCAATAAAATTTATTTCCTATTTAGTTGTTCCTGGTATTTTTCCCTTTTTTTATTTTTAAATTTTTATTAGTGAGATACCATGAGGTACAGTTGCAGACTTACAAATTTTTGTGCTTGTGTTTCAATTACACAATGATCAAATACCCATCCCTCCACCAGTGCCCATTTCCCACCACCACAGATCCCAGTATCCCTTCCACCCCCCATCCCACCCATCCCACCCATCCCACCCTGCCTCTGTGACAGGGCATTCCCTTTTGTTCTCTCTCTCCTTTTGGGTGCTGTGGTTTGCACTGAGTGGCAATCATGTTCAGCCTATAGTCTACTTTAAGCATGCTTCTCCCATCCTGGGAGGATCCTCCCAACACCTTCATTTGGTGCTCCCTTCTCTATCTGAGCTCCCTTTCCCCCCTAGCATGTGTGGCTGGCCTCCAAGCCATTGTTCCTGGTATTTTTCTAGGACAACAGAGACCATCCTATCCTCATGGTCCTGAGAAAGGAGAGAAAGAACTGGGAAGCACATTTTCAGGAAGGGTGAGGTCACCCCATGGGGGGCTGGTCCCCTGAGTCACACAATATCTCCTCTGCACACCTCCACACAGGGCTAGGCTCTGAGTGGAAGGGGAAACCGAGGCCTTATCTTTAGGCTTGAGGGGAGGGAGAAAGGAGAGTGGCATTTGTTGTTGTTTGGTAGGGAGCCACACCCAACAGTGCTCTGAGTCTCTACCTGTGCCCGGATCAGGCACTACGGAGATACACCTGGGCCCCTGCATGCTCAGCCCGGTGAGTTTCCACTCTGGCTCCTGGTACTAAATTTTAGAAATTGTAGCTGTAGCCTAGGTACGAACCCTGTAAATGAGCAAGCATTAAGAAACCCATCTTCGGGGGTCAGCGGCGGCCGGAGGGCGCGCACGGCCACATTGCGGCGGCCCCCGGGCCCCACCATGGCCTACAAGCCCCACTCGGCCGCGCACATGCCCGGCGCCCTCAGCGCGGCCGGCAGTGTCCACGCGCCCTCCACCAGCATGGCCTCGTCCTCCCAGTATCGACAGCTGCTCAGTGACTACGGGCCGCCCTCCCTGGGCTACACGCAGGGAAGTGGCAGCAGCCAGGTGCCCCAGAGCAAGTATGCAGAGTTGCTGGCCATCATCGAGGAGCTGGGCAAGGAGATCCGGCCCACGTACGCGGGCAGCAAGAGCGCCATGGAGCGGCTGAAGCGAGGCATCATCCATGCCAGAGGTCTGGTCCGGGAGTGTCTGGCCGAAACCGAGCGCAACGCCAGGTCCTAGCGGCACCGCCAGGAGTCCAAGGAAACATGGAATTCTTGTTTTCAAAATGTAACTGTTTCTCTTCCTGTGGTTCCTTAGGCTGGGAACCCCGAGAAGGCGTCCTTCCCAGTTGATTAGAATTTGCATTTTTGAATAGTTAGCAACACTCTGGGTTTGTTTCTGTTTTTCCTTTAAGCATCGACTCAAAAGGTGCCGGAAACCTTGGCCTTGGCTGTGGCCTCAGCTGCACAGACCTGAGCGTGCCCCGCTGGGCCACAGCACTCCAGGTCCCCCTGCCAGCGTAGACCCCACTCTCGGGAACTTTCCTGCTTAAGCATCTGCATGACTATTAGTGCTTCGAGGTCAGGTTCTTAAATGCACAAGTTATAAATACAGAAGAAAGAGCGACCCACCAGACCCTACAAGGGCCCCGAAGGCTTTCCGACCAACACTAACTAGACAGATTTCAGTTTTGCCTCCCGTAAGTTGCCCCAAACATCTGGAAGAAAATGACTTAAAAACGTTTGCATCTTTGTATGTATTTATTACTTGATGTAATAAAACTTATTTTCATTAACAAAAAGAAAAAGAAACCCATCTTGTCTATGCAGATGTCAGGAAAAATGAAGTCATGAAATGTGCCTATAAATGGATGGACATGGAGAGTATCATGCTGAGTGAAATGAGTCAGAAGGAGAGGGATAGATATAGAATGACTCCATTTGTTTGTGGTATATAACTATATATATTATAAATATATATATATAGTAGAAGACTTGTGGTTACTGTAGAACTGTAGTAGAATGCTGGATTGATAGCACAGCTGGTAGGGCATTTGCCTTGAATGCGGCCAACCCAGGTTCGATTCCTCTGTCCCTCTCGGAGAGCCTAGCAAGCTACCGAGAGTATCCCACCTGCATGGCAGAGCCTGGCAAGCTCCTCGTGGCATATTCATATGCCAAAAACAGTAACAACAAGTCTCACAATGGAGATGTTACTGGTGCCCGCTCAAGCAAATCAATGACAAACAGGAGGACAGTGCTACAGTGCTATATAGTAGGAGAAGAATATATATCTATGGTAAGGGAAAACAGGGGTTAGGAGGACTGACTGGTCAGTGGTTGGAACTAACCACAGATGTGTGTGGGGCTGAGGGTAGGTGAGATAGAGAAGAGACCAGTATGACATAATAGCAGGGAATGATCACACTGGACAAGATCGGAGGGTTAAAAGTAGGTAAAGGGATATTCTTGATAACCTTTCAGCATCAATATTGCAAACCACAATGCCCAAAAGGGGATGGAGGGGCAGAAGAGAGAGGAAAAGCGCCAGCCATAGAGGCAGGCAGGAGGTTGGGGGGGGCGGGGTGAGGGGGTGATGGGAGGGAACCTGGGGACACTGGTGCTGGGAAATGTACACTGGTGGAGGGATGGGTTTTGGAATACTGTATGACTGAAATTCAATCATGAATGGTTTTGTAATGCTCTATCCCTCAGTGATTCAATTATGAAGTTGTTTTTTTTTTTAAAGGAAACCCATCTTGTTCCTCATTAATGTATTTTTTATAACCTCTCACTCGTCCTCACTTCTTGGCCCTGCACCCCCTCAGCCCCCGCCCTCAGTCTTAAATGATGGATTCATGCATTGTGTGTTTCATGCCAAATCAGATACAGCTCTGGATGGGGGTGGAGGTCTCAAATCACAGATCCTCTGAGATCCCTCCTGGAATAAATCCTGCCCACGGACTACTTCCATCCCCAGGGCGGAGCAAGCAGTGGGCCCCCTAAAAAGATTCCTGAAGCTTCTCAGACTCTTTTCTTGGGCTGAACCTCATCCTACAATTCTCTCTGAATTTCTTTCCCATCCAGCATTCTGTAAACACTAATCCGAGGGGTCGGAGAGAGTACAGCAGGTAGGGCATTTACCTAGCACACAGCATCCCATATGGCCCCCCGAGCATGGCCAGGAGTAATTCCTGGGTGCATATCCAGGAGTATCCCCTGAGCATCACCAGGAGAGACTCACAAACACTAAGTCCAGCCTGAAAATAGGATGGTGTTTCAGCACAAGTCCTCTGTCCTCTCAGTTTCTAGTCCTGGAAACCACCCGTTTTTCCCACACCAACTCTTGTCTTCTGACTATCAGCCTTCAAACAGCAATCTCTGGGCTCCTTTTGCTTCCCAAGAATGTTTCCTAACTCTGGAACTCACCTTTCATCCTTCCAGCATCACCTCTTACAGAGTAACATTTTATACTTTTGATGAAATCCAATTTATCGGTTTTTCTTCTCAGGACTCATATTCTTGTTATTAAATTTAAGAAGTCTGCCCAGCCTGGGATCACCTTTCGATTTTTTTCTGAGAAGATTTATAGTTGCAAGTTTTACATTTAAGTCTATAATCCATGTTGAGTTAATTTTTACATGAGAAGGGGTGAGGTTCACCTAATCCCCGTGCGTGTCTGAGAGCTCCATCCCCATTGGTTGAGAGTCTGCCTTCACGCCATTAAATTGCTTCCACACATTTGCCAAAAGGCAGCTGAACATGCTTGTCTGAGTCCATATCTGAGTTCTCTGTCCTGTTCCACTGACCTGACCTTCCACCAATGTCTTGATTACTGTAGCCTCATAATGTCTTGAAACTGGATAGTCTGAGCTGGCCTCTTGATTCTTCTTTCTCAAAATCGCTTTAGCTGTTAGTTCCTAGACCTGTGTCAAATAAATTTGGAATAGGCTCGTCTATGTTTGCAAAATAATTACATTGTCTTTAAGAAAAATAGCCTTAAAACCATCAACTAAGGAAGAGTTGACATCTTTATGATGTTATCTTTCAATCCATGAATACAATGGATGTCTCTTGATTTCTTTCAACTTTTACAGTTCGGGGCACATAAGTCCCCTACGTATTTATTAGTCTATGTTTTTCTCTTTTTTTTTTCTTTTTGAGGAGCTATCAATAACACTCTATTTTTAATTTGGGTGTCTGTATTATTTCTAGTACTAGCAATTGATTTCTGTATTTTTGTATCAATCTAGCAATTGATTTCTGTATTTTTGTATCAATCTAGCAATTGATTTCTGTATTTTTCTTGTGTACTTGATTATTGGACCCACCCCTTCCAGTAAGGAGTTTTAGGTTTTGGTTTTTTGATAAATTCCTTAGAGTTTTCCACCTATAATCTGCAAATCTTATCATCTATATATATGAATAATTTTCTTTCTTAGTTTCTGATCTTTATGCCTTTAATTTTTTCATTTGATCTTAGCCAAAAGGTTGAGAAGCTTTATTTATTTTTTTTTATTTTGTTTTTGTTTGGGGGCCACACCCAGTGATGCTCCGGGGTTACTACTGGCCCTACGCTCAGGAATTACTCCTTGCAATGCTCAGAGGACCATATGAAATGCTGAGAATCAAACCTGAGTCAGCTACATGTAAGACAAACACCCTACCCGCTATACTATTTCTCCAGCCCCAAGAAACTGTATTTCTTTTGTTGCTTTTCTTCTGCCCCCTGGATGGCTTGAACTCCAGCACTATGATGACCAGAGTAATGAGAAAGGATAAACTTTATTCCTCCCAAAGAGAGGGACAATGCAGTCACCCCACCTCCCTTAGGGAACAATTCAATCTCTCGCTGCTCAGTACAGGATGTTCAGTGCAGGATTTTTTTTTAAGATATTCTCATCAACATTGCAGTTCACCTTCATTTACCCATGTTCAAGAGTGAGCACCAGTGGTCCATGCTGGCTGGAGAGATAGTACGGGAGATAGGGCGCTTGTCTTGCACGTGGCTCACCTGGGGTCAATACCCAGCATCCTATGTGGTCCCAGCATCCTATGTGGTCCCCTGAGCACCACCAAGATTGATTTTCTGAGTGCAGAGCTAGGAGTGACCCTTGAGCATAGCCGGGTGTGACTCTCCCCACAAAAATAAGGCAAACATTCATACAGATATAGCATTTTTGAATAGTAATAATAAAAAAGGCCCTCCCGTTGATCGTCGATTTGCTCGAGCGGGCCCAGTAACGTCTCCATTGGAGACTTTGTTGTTACTGTGTCTGGCATATCGAATACTCTCGGTAGCTTGCCGGGCTCTCCGAGAGGGGCGGAGGAATCGAACTCGGGTCGGCCATGTTGGCCGCGTGTAAGGCGAACGCCCTACCCGCTGTGCTAATAGTGAACAAATAAATAAAATAGTGAACAATTATATGGAGCTTAGTGTCAGGAACAACTCTGAGTACTTTACTATCATTCATTTCATTTCCCCAGGCAGCAACCTAGAAGATAGATGCTACCATTTTTTAAAATGTTTTAAAATTCGCTTCTCTTTGTCTGCCTATCTCTGTCTGTCTTCTCTCTCTCTTTCTTTCTCTCTCTCTCTCTCTCTCTCCCTCCCTCCCTCTGTTTTTTTTGGCTCTCTGGCTTTTGGGCCACACCTAGTGATATTACACCAAGCTCTGCACTGCAGTCAGGAATTACTCCTGGTGGTGCTCAGGGACCATCTTGGATGCTGAGAGTTTGATCAGGAATACTCATCAGAGTCTGGCCACTGCTTCTTCTGCATCACTGTATCACTGTATCACTATCATCCTGTTGTTCATCGATTTCCTCGAGCAGGTACCAGTAACGTCTCCTTCGTCCTAGCCCTGAGATTTTAGAAAATGTCACATCCAAGGCTCTTTAAGGGTCAGGAGAATGAGAGCCATCATTGTTACTGGTTTTTGGCATATTGAATACTCCACGGGGAGTTTGCCAGACTCTGCCGTGTGGGCAGGATACTTTTGGTAGCCTGCCAGGTTCTCTTCTGCGTCAGTTATATGTAAATTCTGTATTTATTTTTAGAGAAGCAAAGTAGCTTTTATTCAAAGAAATTTAGAGAAATGTAAGGGGAGAGAAGGAGAAGTGCGTGTGCAAGAGAGGACAGGGGCTTCTCCAGAGTGGAAAAAAAGGAAAGGCAAGAAAGAGAGAGATACATATGCATGTCTAAGAAAGACATTCAGAGCACTGGGCAGAAGCGATAGCACAGCGGTAAGGCGTTTGCCTTGCACACAGCTGGCCCGGTCGAGCCAGGTCCGATTCCTTTGCCCCTCTCGGAGAACCCAGCAAGCTACTGAGAGTATCTTGCCCGCCTGGCAAGCTACTCGTGACATATTCAATATGCCAAACACAGTAACAATAAGTCTCAAAATGGAGACGTTACTGGGCCTGATCGAGCAACTCGATGGACAACGGGAGGACAGTGTTTGTTTTGTTTGTTTATCT